GTCACCTTAGGTCATCAGGTCAACCCCGGCCATGTTATCACCAGCAAGAACTTTGGTGTTTCTTGTGCAAACGTTTTGTTTTACTTTGCTGGTATTGCCTTTGCAACATTAGTTACATTACTGAGTAAACTGGGAAGTCACAATTATTAATATTTAGGAGCCATAACCTCCAGATTATCCAGTCCCTCTAAAATGCAAGTCTGAACATAAAGTGTGTTAATCCCATGATCCTAACAGGGAAAGTTAGATTAAGAGCTATAAAACAAAAACAATTGTAATTCTGCACAAAAAGACAAAACACTATGCAAGAGATAAAACTTAAACGTACCGAGAATCAAAGGGAGGAAAATGTTTCAGCTTAAAATAGTTAATCTATAGAAGCAAACAAAAGTGAGTAATCTCTAACAGAATACAGCTGTTACATTGTTCCCAATTCTAGTAATCCAGAATATTCACGTTTTTTTGTAGAAGCTTTAAGAAACTTTAGTTTTCCTCTTTTCCAGACACCATTTAGTTGGACCAGAAACTTTATTTCTGCGATATAATTTTGAAAGCAGTTAATTTCTAAAGCTCAGTTTATTGAAAACTTTGACACATCTACAGTTTCTTTTAAAGAAAGAAAAAAAAAAGTTGCAGAAGGAGCTAAATTGTTTTCCTTGTGGGGAGAAGTGGTTTTAAACTGGTCAGAGTGATCCTTGTCTTAAAAACAAAACTAATAATAGTGAGAACTCGGCGTGATCAAACCTGGTCCCTGCTGGGCTAATATCCCCTCTGCTCCACTCAGAGGCTTTAAAAGACCGTTCTCCATGAAGGCTACGACAGGAACTCTACCCTCCTCCTCCTCCTCCGCCTGCTGCTCCTCTCCAAGAAGAGGCAGTTGGATCACCTCTTCAAACTGTCCGTTCTCCCTGTGAAAACGAAATGGAAATGAAATGTTTGATAATAACGAGGACGTGACAGAGTGATGTGACTTCCACCTCTGCTCAGGATGGCTCGGCGCTGCACTGCTCGAGTTCAGGGAGGGGTCAGGACTGCTGCCGTTACTGTTCTGTGACGCAGACGCTGCAGGAGAGGCGGGGGTCACTGTTGGTAAAAGAAACCCATTGTGGTCACCAGGAACAGCATCGAATGAACAACAGAGGGTTTAAAGTTACCTGCGTCGTCTCCATTCCTGACTTTCTGCAGCTGAAATAAGAAAAATGAGAATAAACCTTTCAAACGATCATTTTGTTTTTAGCGTTCTCACCCTGGTTGTCACCTTTTCTGATGGGTCGGAGCGTCTCGTTCTCTTCATGATCTCCTCAAGACGCTGGTGCAGGTGACAAAGGAAGGGGGAGGAATTTAATTAATTAAGAATTAACCCACGTTACTCATAAACTGCCTCTTTAAGCAGGTTACCTTCTTTCTCTCCAGCCGCTCGGCCTCTTCTTTCTGAAAGTGCTTCTCTCGTTCCTGCCTCAGTCGCTCGGCCTCCTCTCTCAATCGACACTCCTCCTCTTCTTTCTAAGACAATTACAGTTTTGTCAAATTAGGAGCAGACTCACTGATGTTTCAGCTAAAGTCGGTGTTTAGTTTGAAATTTATTTTCAGATTATTGAACAAAAAACTTTTAGGTCTGCTCAGGTGCACAACTTTTCTGACCTGTTTCTGGAGTCTGTCCGACTCCTCCCTCTCCTTTTGAAGCCTCTCCTCCTCAGCCTTCTTCTCCTCCTCCTCCTCCCTCCTTCTCCTTTCCTCTTCCTGGCGTTGAGCCTCCTCCTCTCTCCTCGTTCTCTCCTCAGCTTTACGGCGAGCCATCTCCTCTTTTGCTAATCTGTGCAGAAGCAGACCAGTTTCAGTCGCATAAAAAAACAACAAAAAAACTATAAAAGCTATAAATGCTGTATTTTCAGCGCACCTCGCCTGCTCCTCTTTCTGCTTTCGCTCCTCTTCCTCTCTCTCCCTCTGCTCCCGGGCCAGACGTCGTTTCTCAGCCAGGATGCGACTTGCCTCCTCTGGATCCGTGGTGCCCGCTGAAGGTTTGGGAGCTGGAGGACTGCTTGAACTCTCTGTAAGAAATAACAATAAAGATTTGAAGAATAGAAACCGAACAAAGCTGCAGGATGCATCACCAACTGACCGCTGGCTCCTGAGGCTGCTGCAGGTGTCTGCTCTCTCGAGGTCTTGTTCTGACCCAACGGCTGAGGTCGAGGCTGAGGAGCGCTGACAGACAGCTGCTGCTGCTCCTCCTCAGCTCTGGTGGGCGTTGTGGGGTGGGAGCTCTCTGGTGTGATCCTAACAGGACGCAGGTTTCCAGCATCTTCTGTTCCAGGAGACTTAAGCAGCTTGGGAGTCGGAGGACGCCCTGCTGTCTTCAGCGGAAGTCTGTGCAAAAGTAAAAAAATAAAATAAAAGCTGCGTTTGTCTACAACATTAAAGAAAAAATAAAGTGTTCATGTGAGTTTTAAAAAAAGGCCCAGTTTCTGATAAAAACTGTTAAAACTTTGGTACCTGCCAGGAGAGGGTGCTGTTACTTTGCTGCTCTTTTTAGCAGGAGCAATGAGTTTGTTGGGGGGTAAAGTCAGAACAGGATTCAGTGGAAGGGACAAGTTGCTCCATGACTTCCTGACATGCTCCCGGTCTTTCTGCTTCTGATGAAAAAAGATGAAAACTGTTATTCAAAGTCATTTATTTGCACAGAAAATTAAAGCCCCAGTTATAAATTGGAGAATTTTCTACACTTTGAGGCCTGACTTGGGACTCCTAACACAAGTTGTTTTGCACAAAACATAAAGTGGTTCTGGGATTGGACCGTCTCCCAGAAAGGAGGAGCAGCTCTGAATTATCAATAACAAGATTAGACTCAAACTGAAATCTACACAAAACAAATGCTCTCTGGCACAAAGTCATCAAACAAAAACAAACACCACAAAAAAAATAAAATAATAATAATCCCCATCTCATTCAAATTTTTGTCACAAATCTAAGTAGAAAACTATAAAACTAAACAATAAAAATAAAAAAACTTGTAATATCTGTAATAACATATCAAGTGAGTCATTTTTGACCAAAATCCACAAGAAATAGTAAACCTGCATTTGTTTAATAAAAATATTACTCCATAATGTCAAATAATACCTTTGAGAGCCCCTGACACACAAAATATATAATGCAATCACGTCAGCATGTCTTACAATAATAATAATAATAATAATACATTTTATTTGAAGATGTCTTTCAAATCACTCAAGGTCACTGAACATGATATACACAGATAAAAAACAAACAATAAAACAATAAAAGGCAGACGTCAATAAAAATAAACAATTAATGGTAGAATACATAATGACATTAAACAGAATAAGTAAGTTTGAAAAAGTGAGTTTTAAGGTTAGATTTAAATGAGAGCAGAGAATCAGATTTACGGATGTGGTGAGGAAGAGAAGTCCAGAGACGAGGGGCTCTGCGGGAGAAGGCGGGCAGGAGGTATAACAAGAGAAATGGATAAGGAGGAGCGAAGACTTTGGGCGAGTGTGTAATAAAGAAGATCAGTGAGGTACAGAGGTGCCAAGCTATGGAGAGCTTTGAAGGTGATGAGGAGAATCTTGAAGACGATGCACTATTTTATGGGTAACCAGTGAAGATGTTTAAGGATAGGGATGATGTGTTCCTTCGAAGTAGTTCTGGTGATGATCTGAGCAGCAGTGTTTTGGACTAGCTGAAGTTTATAGATGATTTTAAGAGGAAGATCTGAGAGGAGGGAGTTCCAGTAGTCTAATCAAGAGGTGACTAGAGCCTTAATAAAGATGGCTGTACTGGTGGGAGTAAAAAATGAATGGAGAAGGTTGATGTTTCGAAGATGAAAATATGCAGACTGAGTAATGTTATTGACATGAGATTCAAAAGATAAAGTGCTATCGAGGATGACACCCAGACTCTTAGCTGTAGGGGAGGGAGAAACTGTGGAATCAACAACTTAAATTGTGAACATTACATTTGGATAAGGTAGACTTGGTTCAAACAAGGGGAAATTCTGTTTTCTTGGAGTTCAGTTTAAGAAAGTTTTCACTAAACCATAATTTAATTTCACAGAGACAGTCTGAAAGGAAGGAAGGTGGAAAGGTGGTGTTGGGCTTGGTGGAGAAGTAGAGGTGGGTGTTGTCTGCATAGCAGTGGAAATTAATACAAAATTTTCTAAAAATGAGACCAAGTGGAAGAAAATAAATGATAAATAGGTGAGGACCAAGAACAGAATCCTGCGGTACACCTGAAATAACTGGGGAGGACTGTGACTTGAAGTTCTTAAGTTGGACAAAGTGATGACAGTCAAGAGAGGTAAGATTGGAACCAATTCAGAACGACGCCCGAAAAACCAATGGAACATAATCTATCAAAAAGAATATAATGTGAAATGGGATCAAATGGATGGGTTGTTTGTCTCGTTTGTCTCCAAGTGTCCCTGTGATGGACTTGCGATCTGTCCAGGGTGTACCCCACCCCTCGCACAGTGACTGCTGGACATGGGCACCGGCGACCCCCCGCGACCCAAAATGGAAGAAGCGGACAAAAGATAATGGATGGAAGGATGGATGGATGGATGGATGGATGGAATCAAATGCTGCACTTAGGTGAAGGAGAAAACTGAGTCAAGGAGAGTCTTCAAGAGCAACCATTTGCTTGGATAATATTCACACAAAATATCTAAAAAGATGCATCACTTGAGATGGTTTTAGCAGATTTTTGTTAGTCTCTTCACTAAAGAGTAGTGAGAAAATGCTTATGAATGAAGAGTCCTTCCGTTTATTCCAGTGGTATAATGGATAAAGCCTATTGTTAATAAATACAAGCAGCTAGTAATTCATTTAACCTTTACTTATACAGGTTAGTCTCATTGAGCCTCAAAGACTCATTTACAAGAGAGACCTGTTTTCAACAAAGAATGATGACAACAATGGACAACAGTAACAACAATAGACAATCATAAAAGACGTGTACAGATTTTTTTTTTACAAATTAAAATAAGATGGCAAAAAAAGTCGCAAAAAACAGCTAGATTCTAAGGTGAATGTAGAAAACTAAAAACAGGAACATGTCTGCATTGGTCCCCGCCAAGAGTCCAATAGATTCTTAAAGCCACTTAGAGAGGTCAAGGTCGAGAGCTTCAGTTTTTTTTTGCAAGATATTCCAGGAAACAGGAGCAGAGTAGGAGAAGGCCCTTTTGCCTAGTTCAGTCCTCATTGAGGGAACACTGCAGGTAATAATGTCCTGAGAGCGCACGCTGTAGCTGTACTCGCACAGAGACATGTAGGAGGAGATGTATGAAGGCAGCAGACCAAGAAGGGATTTAAAGATGAAAATGTACCAGTGAGAGAGTCTGCATGACGTTAATGATGTCCAGTTAACCAGTGAATACAGGGTGCAGTGGTGGGTACGATAATCACAGCCAGTTATGAATCTTAGTGCACCATGATAGACAGCATCCAACATCTGCAGGGTTCTTGTACGAGCGTTCATGTAAATAATGTCACCGTAATCAATGGAGGGAAGGAAAGTCACAGATACAAGGTGTTTCCTAGCATTCAGAGTTAGACAGGAGCGGTTTCTTAAAAAGAAACCCAGTTTAACTTTCAGTTTCTTTATCAAGTTTTCCACATGGAGCTTAAAAGAGAGATGCGAGTCGACCAAGATACACAAATATTTATAGGAATCAACAAACTCAATCGGGACATCATTTGAGGATAAAATCGAAGGAAGAATTGCTGGGACCGACTTCCTGTTTGAAAAAAGGCATCCCTTTGGTTTTATCAGCATTTAAGACAAGTTTGAGGTCGAACAAATCTGTTTGGATGATGTCAAATGCAGATTTCAAAAGCTGGAAAGCCTTAGCAGCAGTTTTAGCTCAACAATAAACAACTGTGTCATCAGCAAAGAAATGTATGGATGCATCAGGGATGTTTTTACCTACATTACCTATGTAGATTGTAAAGAGGGTGGGTCCTAAGACTGAACCTTGTGGTACACCATTGTTGACTGTTAAATAACTGGAGGAAGTACCATTATGTTGAACACATTGCCTCCGGTCTGAGAGATAGAGAACCAACCAATGGTGTGTTCTGAGAAACCAATTTCTGAGCGTTTATGACACAAGATGTTATGATCCACAGTGTCAAAAGCTTTAGACAGGTCTAAGAAAAGTGCAGCACAATAATCTTTAGCATCCAGTGCTTCAACAACGTCATTAAGAACCTTCAGTGAAGCAGTGGTTGTGCTGTGTTGTTTCCTGAAACCAGATTGATGTGGAGGTAAGATGTTAAATGAGTCCAGGTAATTTTTGATTTGAGAGTTTATCAGTTTTTCTTGAACCTTGGCTAAAATGCAGAGTTTAGAGATTGGTCGATAGTTGTTCAGTGAGGTGGGGTCACCTCCCTTCAGCAAAGGAAGAACAAAGGCTGTTTTCCAAGCATCTGGAATTGAGTTTTGGCTTATGGAAAGATTAAAGATGTGGGTCACAGGCTGGGCCGGATTTTAGCAGGGGCTTACCGGGGCTGCAGCCCGGGGCCCCGGCATTTCGGGGGCCCCGAAGGATGTTTTATGTTTTTGTGAATGGATAGTGTCAGAATTTAATCAATGACTATGATGATTTTGACAGCACCGATGAAAAATGTTCCAATTTGTTCTGGCAAACTTCCATCTTGAATGCTTGCTTGTTATTGGTCCACTTTTGACGCATCTTACGCATTGGGGAGGAACGTCAGGGAATATTATTTTACAGCGGAGCGCAGAAAAGAAGGAAGAGAAAAGAAAAAGAGCATCGCGACAAAGAGGCGACAAACAAAATGCCTAAACTGACTGGCTTTTTTAAATCTGTTAGCGGAGATGGAGCAGAAACATCATTACCCCCCGCTCCTCAAACCCTTAGCTTTGCTAACACCGGCACTACGATCCCGCCATAACCTTTAACCGTGACTGAGTCAGAGGCTGGACTGGCGTCTGTGGAGTCAGAGTCGGTTGAAGCGGGATCTTCTTTGGCAGATGGAAAGACGACTGTGAATCCGTACAGTACCGATCCTGCGCATTGGGGGGAAATTGACGAGTCCGTGCAGGCTTACTGGGCTGAGCGAGGACCGGAGAGCTGTCAAAATATGAATGTTAGCTTTCAAGCATCGGAACGGGTGTACAAGCATCAAAAGCGTCACTTCTCCAAATCTCACTTTAAACGCAAGATGTTAAATGGTGAGTACATCGAAAGACCGTGGCTGCTCTACTCTCCATCCACCGGAGCTGCGTTTTGTTTTGCATGCCGCATTTTCAGCAATGCTAATACTCAGTCATGCTTTGAAACTGGTTTCAGTGACTGGAAGCACGCAACTGTACGCATGAAAGAGCACGAAAACAGCAAACATCATAGAAAAACAATGCTGACATATGTTTCACTTGCAGCAGCCAGCGGGAGGATAGACACAGAACTGCAGAAACAATTTGAATCTGAGTGTTCATATTGGACTGAAGTGTTGAGAAGAGTTGTGTTTGTTGTCAAGTTTTTAGCAGAGAGGGGACTGGCTCTTAGATGCAAGCATCATATTCTAGTTTCAACTCCAACATGTGGTTTAGTCTTTCTAGAAAGAGTTCAGACTTGTTTGTAGTTTGTGACAACTGGCTGTATTATATATATATATATATATATATATATATATATATATATATATATAT